AGATGTTCCTTACTTGATGTCGGCCAGGCTCATCTACCGGAAATTAGGGTTAGGCACAAGTATAATTAATATTGTAGGTAAAATTCAACCTTATGATGGTGTGGTTTATCTGCTTATTGGGCAACCATTTCCAAGCCGTTCCTTTTAATTCGCAAGTAGCCGGATCTTCGCTGTCGTTGGGACTCATCCACAAGTCTCTTTCTATGCTTTTCTCTTGCCAGTCACGGAGTAGAAAATCGCTTTCACACCAACTGAAATTTGAAGTAAAGCTTCATTCCCAATGTTACGAGTCGGGACTAGGTGCCAAGAGGTAGTCTCTTTAGTGAGAGAAAGGGTTTCTTAAGTCTAGACACTATTCCAACTTAGAAGCGAGCACTAATGGTAAGGACGTTAAGGCGCTGTCTTTCTTTGCTGGCGCCGCCACTTAACAATCGCAGCACACGTGGCGTCTGCGCCCTCTCGCGTTTTCCCTCTCCTCGCAGCGCTGTGTCTATCCGTCATACCACAGTCGGTCTCACAAGGAAAATTCCGCGGTTTTCTTGCTTAATTTTCAAACAAAATAACACCCCACTTTGATCACGACTCTTGCATTTGAGAGACCCCGATTTAGCAAGCTAACCACGGCTTAATTTTTTTTTGGCTGGAGGGAGCCCTTCAAAAACTCCTGCACATGCGCGCAGCTCAGTTCATCGTCTTAGAGTTTGTATTCCAAATGAGGGCTACTGTTATCAAAGGAGATTTCGTCTACAAATTACGAACGCGTGGAAAGGGGATTAAAGCCTTGCCTTGTCTGCTGCCGCACTGCCATCCTTGCCAACCGGGCATACGTGCGTCTGCGCCTTCTCGCGTGCGACGTGCTCTCTCGCGTTTTCCCTCGAAATATCGCATTTTTCCCTTCCTAACAAAATAACACACCAATTCGATCCGGATTTAGGCCTTCAATTATAGTCCATCCACTTCAGTAAGATGAATTTATGGAAGCTGCCTCATTGTAAAGCGGTCAGCCCATGAATCTGTTGAGATTACTCCCTCTTTCCGAGCACGGACGAGTTGCGCACTTGAAAACGTTGTACCTCCCGTAAGAAGGTGATAACCGTCCGTTATTCCAATTCCAGGATCTTTACGACCCCCCCTCCTTTCTTATATAGGCTTTGATACAAACTCTCACCGCCTCCATCGGCCTTAGGGGAATCCTCGTACAAATCCCCTTCCCCATCCCGACCACCACCCTCGCCATGATTACAAGTGTTTCTATAGGACTTGATAAGTTGACACACTCAAATCCCGCCCACTATTTCCCTTCAAAAAGGCCGTGGAGGGGGGAGGCGGGAGGTAAATTGTCTGATGAGGCCGAAAATCTTTTGAATCTCTACTTTTCCCCTTCTCCTTCGTATTTCCCAAAATTATCGGAAAATCCGCCAAAGACGAGCCCCCTCCCAGGCCACCACAATCCATCCAACCTCCAACAGTACGGCAATGAACGGTTGACGCTGGACGGTAAACGCGTGCATAGTGAGTTAAGAATGAGCCTCATGCCTGTCGTCTTCTCTTCATAGAAGACCGTTTTCTTAATCTCAAAAAAAAGAGATTTCCCCACGTCCATTCCATCAGACTTTGTGCCAAGTAGGGTTAGGAAGTAGAACCAAGAAACCGAATGCCTATAGTGCCCTCAACCCCATTTCTATGGAAACCACCACCAAGAACTGTTACACTGTTGTAACGCATCTGCAATTACGCGCTCAAAGGCTTAGAAATTTTTTATTTATGAAAATAGTGACAGGGGCTGACACGAAACCACTCACAAGTTGCTCGTCAGTGCAGAGTCTCGAATCCAGCTGTGCGCTTTCTTGTAGATTCGTACCTTTTTCGGCCATAACCGTTGGTATCCAAGCACCAGCCGCCCACAAGCCAACGAGGCGTCATGGCCAATTTTAGTACTCCAATAAGTCATGCACTGATCAAATTCTATGTCACCAGTATCTATCAGTTTTTGGGTCAAGTAAACCTAGAAAGTAGCATTTTCATAAGTTTTTTTCTTATCGCATATTATTCTAAACACTTGACGAGCATGTCAAAAAATAAATGTCATTCCGATTTTCATGCCATTTCGTAGAAAATCATTTCTGAGACGAAGTTTGACGCCATCGATAACCTGGGGGGGGGCATCTGTTACAAACTGGTACCTGACAGGAGGCCCGTTGCGCGACGAGAGAGCAAAGACAGTGAGGAGTCGCTGCGCGTGCTATGTAGTGGTGACGTACTGTAAAGCATGCCATTTCACTTGACGCGCAATTGCTACAGTACGCGCTTCTACTCGTCCGCATCTCTGCCCTCTCGTCGCGCAACGGGCATTCTGCCGGGTACCCGTTACAATCCATAGCACACAACGCTTACAGTAAGCCCGATTTTTGCAGAGTATGAAGCTCCAGGATAGGTGCAGAAGCGAAAATGTGAGAGAAATGAATCACACACCCTAGAGATACCTCCGCTGATAAAAATGGGATCACCGGAGGCGGCTTGATTTATTACACTACCCCCTGCCCCCTCCTCATCCTCCTATTCCAACAGTGCCCAAATAGCATCTAGGGTAACGATAATTCGGAATGGGCGGGTAATAACTTCGTATATTTAGTTTGCAAGAAAGGTCTGGCCGGTTTCGACACTTCAAGTTCAGGGATTTTATCCTGGTTAGGTTTTCGGCAGCCTGCTAGGAGTTGCATATCATCAGAAAGCGCGTCCTTTGCTCTATCCAAATACGCTGTAAGCTTTGGCCTAGAGGGACTTCCTACTTATTTAAAGCCTTGAATGCAACATGCTCATCAAGCCGAATCCTCACGATTTTCTTCTTCTACCTCGAATTAGGGCAGAAAGGAGCGGAATCAGCTCACGATATAAACTATTCGTTTGGCCACGCATTTGCGGAAATAAGTCATGAAGCGACTTATTCGGGGAAGCTTGTGTAGGGATGGGGATAGCTCGAAGCAGAGTCAACCCTGCGTTGCGCAGTTCTCAACGGCCACGTTGCGCAGTTTCGCCCGATTAGACACGTTCTCTCGCGCGAACATTTCACACAACTTCCGTTGGAGAACTGCGCAACGCAGGGTTGACTCTGCCTCGAAGTTGGCGAGGGTGATCGTTGGATGTCGAACTTCGGTAAAAATTACCTGAAACATTTGATGGAACCAAATGTGCTTGAAACAGTTGAGAAGACTGCTACCGATTGAGCGTATATGATTTGTGGTTTCAAGTTACATGGGATAGCTTAAAAAGCACGGTAAAGTCGATAAGGGAGGTGTTGCGAAAAATTTGCGGTGCCGTAGCCTGCCTTTCTTCTGAATCTTATGAAGAAACAACCCGTCTTTGTTTTTCGGATTGTGAGTTGTGAATGTAGAATGGATTCTTCTCAATAACCTACGAACTTCGGGTGGGTAGTTCGATCACGACTAGGGTCAACAAAATTTCCGCAAAGATGAAACTGCGCGAGGAGAAGGTTGTTCGGCTTGTTACGCGGTCTACAGCAGGCGCAGCTTTTCGAGCACAGGCGGAAACTGTTATAGTGGGACAATATGTTTTGCATGGTGTCGGTATATCCCAAATCGTTGACGCCTGCGCCTAGCAAGGGCTTACCATTAATGGCGTCGACTGTTTTCCGCGATGCACCTCACCATCAACCGATGACCGCAGAAGCGACCCTGCAAAAAAAAGAAGAACTAGCTGAAGTACTGAACTATGTCCCAAACGTCCCACTCCCTAGACCTCTTCCCTATTCACCGCCACTTTTTCAACGGTCTGGATAGCACCTTAAAGGGGAAATGCTACGAAATCTAACATGATGGTGAAACGACCTTCGCCGAGTTCATCGCCTCTAGAACTCCAGTACTTCCAGTGAACGGATTGATCAAACACATGAAATGTTCGCAAGAAGGAAGAGTAGATCCAACAGGTTTTTATTGCGATCGCAAACGTTGCGTTTGAGTCGAGATATGCACATTTGAACTTCAATGTCCGGAACGGTCACAACTTTCCTTACACCCTAATAACTTGCTCATCGTATGAGCAATTATACATTTTTCTAATTTGATGTGAATTATTATGTTTACCCGAATAAAGCTCACCACACTAATATTCCCTTGTCGTAGGGGCTTCGGCCTCGAATCGGATAAAACTCTTTTGCTGCCAGTTCCCGCAGAAAGTTTATGGACCACTCGCTGCGACGCACCTGTGGAGCGTGTTTGAAAAAAAATCGATATGTTCGGAAATTTTATAAGCTGCTGGGTTTTGTCTGAGCGACGAATTATCGCTTTTGACAAATAATGTATTTGTATGAAATTTCACTCACCAAATAATTTTCGTCAGAAATCTCCCAATTCTGAAATTAGCTCGGTGAAAAATTATGTTCACTCGGTCGTCAATCCATTCTTCAATGCAGTGGTTAGGATTTGCTACTGCTGGAATGAACCAAATAGTTGTTGAGCCTTAAGTAATTTTGATCAGTGCAAAAAATTTAAAATTGGCGTTATTGCAATAAACGCGGGTGTTGTTCTGGGCCTGGGACTAACAAGGGAGGTCTTTTAGGGCAAGGTGCGCTTTTTCAAAACGGTTTTGTGCATATTGTAGGGACGCATGTAGGGAACGCAAAACCATGTTTCATTTTCGCTGAACGGTTATAGCAGTACCAAAAAAGAAGCATAAGGTACTGTTAAGGGTTCGATCCCCCGTGGCGACTAAATTTTGCATTTGGGTTGGCGCCTACGGTTTGGTGCCAATCGTTTGAGCAAACCGTGACCCAAAATTGATTACAAAATTTAGTCGCTGCGAGGGATTGAACCATCGAGAGTATTATTTACAACTTTTTTGGTACTACTAAAACCGGCGAAAACGAGCTGTTTTGGCGGTCCATACATGCGCCTCAATACTAAAGCCGTTTCCAAAGCGCATTTGCTCTTGTTGAAAAAACGCGCCTTGTGGCCTAGAAGCTGCAATGAGAGCTCGGGTGAAAAATAAAAATGGTTCACACACCTTAGAGTGTCTCCTCCCCAGCCTAAGGCTTAGTCACAAACATTACATGTTTGACGCGGTTCTAAATGCGTTGACACCACAATGTCCCCGTGTATGGCGATAGCCCCAAAAGTGGATCAAACATTCTCTAACTACCTTGCGAAAAATTCCCTCTTGGCCAGTGCTCTCTCATCACATTCATGGCCCAGGAGCCCAGTGTTACTTCGTTGCAGTACGTGCGCCCCCTTGAAGGGTCGCCTCGATTCCAGCGTTTTAGCATTCAGGCGCATCACACCAAAGAAGTCGTGTAATGTCCCTTGAAAGGCAACGATCGCGGTAATTCCACCTTGAATCTAGAAGCGGAAATGGAAAGTAATACTGCAATGGTTAACGTAGCCAATCGATCTAAAGAATGGATTTTGATTTGGCAGCTTCACTTCAACCTAAAGGAGGATTCCTCGATGAGAACTATCGTTGAAAAGGGGAGACCTACCTAGTGAAGAGTCAGGCGCACCCTGAGGGGGCGTTCCACGGTCCAAGACACCAAAGAATAAGATTCAAAATGAAAAGCATTATGTGTCCATAGTGAGCTAGGCACTGACTCGAATATGAATGCATTGATGTCAGAACTCATATCGTTTACTTGACAAATGTATCCCTTATTATACCTGTATTGTCATCAACTACGAGCATCCAATCAGCCTCTTGAGAATCTTGGAGAAATTTGGCCGCAGCGCAGTACTTTTTATATCTTATCTGAAATTGCCAGCTGACCCATAGGAAGAATATCCAAAACAAGAGGGCGTGTCAGTTCATCCAGTAGAAGAAATTGCCTTGGAAAAGCGAAACTCGAAAGCGAATCCGTTCAAGTACAGGCTGTCCCATAAGCAGAACCGTTTTTACTCAAAGAAAAAAATTTCTGCTAAAGATCCATTTATTAATATCAGGTTATACACCATTCGGAAGAGAATTCGTCTGCGCTACAAAAGCTTTGTATTGTTTTCTGATTCGTTCCAGGGTTCTTGAATTTTAGGCCTGCGAAATGGGAGGTCCAGCCGACAAAAATTGACCAAACCGACAACTAGCTCTAACTTTATGTTCCCTTCGGAGAAATCAATCAATGATGTACCCTCTACTTACTCATGACCTCTTCTAAACATTACACTATAAGGTTTCCCAACAATTCATAGCTTCGCTCCAGATTGGGTTTCTACGGCAAAACTCGTAGGAACCCAATCTAAGCACGATCTCTTGGAATTTTAGCCCAATTTTTTTACAGCCGACAGACGGAACATTGAAAAACTAGCGGACTGTTGAGAAGAAGCCATGTACAAGTTGGGAATGTGCCTGGTTGATCTTCGCTTCTTCTCGCGGAAATTTTTTCTCGCGGAAATTTTTCAAAGAAATGTGATCATTTTCCTGGACTGAGCACCTTACATATCTAACAGGCCTTAAATTTAATTTAATTTGCAACGAATATGAAAACAGAACAAATGAACGAATAAAGCAGAATAGGTGCTCACGCGAACGATACATATATCACTCATATAAAAAGAGAGTGCTCCAGACGAAAAAACGTCTGCATGATCGACTTTTCTTTAACCCTTTGACGACCGCCGTTATGAATGCGTCACTTCACTTCTTTCTAAATTTTTTCATCAATAATCATTAACTCTCCAACAATTTCACTATTAGTAATTAGCGCATTATTCCGCGAATTCGATGATGTATTTGTGTAGTTTTGAAACATAAAAAATGCCAAAATAAACCCCTAAAAACGTGTCGCCACCGAGCGAAAGTGTGGCCCACCGGCGGGCCCCACGGGTCGTCCAAAGGGTTAA